TCACAAGGTCTACTGATTGACTCCTTTGTGGCTAAGAACTAGCAGAGCCATCTAGGTGCAGAGACATTTCACCAAAAATATAGAAAATGAGCACAGCATTTTCCCCATTTTTTAGTCATTTTCCCTGGCGGCATTGGGTTAATCTAGTCACATTTTTTGTACTAACTGTAGGGTAAGTTGCACAAGGTCAGAGTAGGTAAAAAATATGTATTTTAACCAGTTTTGGACTTCAACTTAATCCAAACCTTGACTCATCTAATTTTCTGTGGCTCTGCATTCCTGCCAATTTAATGGAGCAAGAGTTCATAATTTTCCTTCCCTTTCCTAGCCTGATAGAACTCATGAATTATCATGCACCACCTCCTGACTGAGGCATAATTAATGGATTACTGTAATGCTCCCAGTTGGAGTAAACTGCTCCCTCTTAATGGATGGTTTCTCCTGGCAATGAAGATCAGGTTCTCAAGGAAATATTAAAATGCTCAAGTTTTGTCCTGTTTTCTTATTGCTTTTGCAGTGTGGGACACATATTGAAGGTATTGTTATGGTAAGTTCAGGGGTCACCTTTCTCAAACATAAAACGAAAATGCCAGGCAAGTTTTATTAGATAGTCTAGTGGGAGCAAGTGATTGGGCCTCGATTGTCCAGTGGTCACAGAAGTACTAACTCGAGGTGTGGGCTAATCTTAACACAATGACATTTCACAAATACTGCTTAATCAATACTACAGCTTCTCTAGTATACCACATACCCTCCCACCTATTGGACCTGGTATTGTCACTGTTGATGGCTAGTACCACAAATTCTACTTTGAATACACACTAGACATTAAACGGAATATATCAGTACCAGATTTAATTGGTTTTATTATGTAGACCTTGTCTAGATAAATAGTAATTGTTACTTTTATTAATATCTTTTGTATTTATGAAGTGTTTATGGTTGCTAGGAAAATATAATTGATTAATTTGGTTCTATGACAGTTACCAATTTCATTTGACATGATATTACTGCTAATGAAAAACTATAATAGATTTGTTACTCAATGAATGGTTGTTATCATCACCCTCACCCTAGAATATGTACACTGTTTAGTGATGTAGTCATTAGATTTATATATATATATATATATATATATATATATATATATATATATATATATATATATATATATATATATATATATATATATATATATCAATATCTATCTATCTATCTATCTATCTATATATATATGTGTGTGTGTGTGTGTATTATTGAAAAATTGACAGTGAATTTTTATGTACACTATTGGAAACTGGTCATTGAATTTGTAAATTGTTGAATGAATGAATAATTTACCACAAGTGCTGTAACTGTAGCAATAGCCTTTTTTTGTAAGTGTATGACTTGTAGGATTACCACTATTAACCCAGTCATACTGAATAACATGAGAATCAAATTAAATTGTGATTTTTTTTTTTTTTTTACACTGTGATAATAGGAATCAATGGAATTCGGAAAGTAATTTGATATTATGTGTATGTGCTATTTCCATGAGAGGTGGCACTCATTATAAGATTGTGTTATTAGATATTTTCATCTAAAAGAAACCGTTCAAGAGGAATAACTTGGCTTAATAGTCAGAAGGCTTTGTACTACTTAATTTCTTTTTTATTTAGTGTAAGGATATATAACTGAAATATTGTTGCAACCATAAGATGATGTTTTTTTTTCCAGATAGCTTGCAAACATGTGGCAGCTTAGATTGCTCGGAAAATTGATATTAGTCCTGCTAGGAGCTTCAACATGGGTGAGATACTGCTAACACTTATTTGAGGAGAATTTGTGCATATGAGTCCTCTTACATCACAAAAAATTAGGTCATCACTATTGTCAGATCTCTCACTCTGTGCAATTTCTTCAGGCACATACATTATCCATCCCGGAGGAGAACAGCATTCAGCCCACACACAGTTCTTCTGGCCCATGTCATGCTGTGGAACCAACAGAGGTGAGTGAGGGGTGAGGAAGTAAGTACTCAACATGTACAGCTGAATTTCAGAAACTTGATGTTACAATTTTTTGTGCCAAAAAGAGCAAATGATATACCTGTAGTGGCAGAGCTACAGGGAAGAATAAGGGAAGGGAGAGGACATTTGCCTACCCTTCTACCCCTTAACTTGTAATTGTAAGACACAAATAGCAAGCTGCTCAAATTACTGCGATAAAAGATTGGAAGAATTATGACTTTTAAGTTAAATATGACCTAAAGTTTAATTTATTTCCTTCCCATACTTTTCTTAATCCCTTTTTTCTCTCCATATAAATTCTTTTAGATCCATAAGTATTTTATCAGTATGAGACTATATGATTGTCCCATTTCCTACAGTAAGATAATACTCTTCATTCTTATTTCCCCCAAGATTGTGTGTAGGGGTATGCAATCCCTTGAAGAGGTGTCCAGCAATATTCCAGAGGAATTGAGGGCACAAGTAACAAAACTCACTTTGGAGAATGCTGTTCAGGGAGTCTGGACAAGGGATGACCTAGTAAAGCTGCCGTCACTGCACACTGTTGTATTCAACCACAGGTCAGTGTGCCACAAAATACACAGTTTTCTCTCATTTTTTGTCACTGAGGAAAAATACAAATGTTAGGTTTCAAAAATACATAACATATTTCATGGAAAATTTACTTTCTAATAAAAATTCTCAAATGATCACTTATATGTTGAAACCCATTTTAAATTGGTAAATCTAATCCAGTGCTTTTATTTGATCATTGTATTGCTTCTTGTATACACTACTATGAGTGTGGCTTGAGGGGAGGGGAGAGAAAAATGGCCATATTATCTTTATTTTTGCAAATTTCAGACTATAATTTGCATTGATGCAGGATTGTTTCCACAATGCTAATTATTAATAACTGCTGCCAGGGAAATGCTGTCATTTTTAACCCATTCACGCTGGGTGTCATGTATCCGTGACATGCCCACTGTGAGTTTACCTGTTTAATTGTTTTTACACATGGATGGCTACACTTGTACTAAACCACTAATGAGCCAGTTATGAGTACTGCCTGTCCCTCCTGTTTACCCTTTTCTTTAATTTACGAAATATTTTACATTATCTTATTTTGCTGTTACTAATGTTTATAACATAATAGTAATTATAATGTTTATGATAAAAATAACCATCAATATTCATAGCACTAGTAAAAATACATTTTCCCGCCAATTTAAGAAAAGGTGAAATCAGGTAAGGCAGAGCCATCTATTTGTAGAAACATTGCACAAAAAATATAAAAAATGAGCACAGCATTTTCCCCATTTTTGGTTCATTTTTACCTGTCGCATATGGGTTAATTTATTTTGTGGAATGTCTGTGCACATAGATGGCTCTGCTAGTGCTTAGCCACAAAGGAGTCAGTTTCACCTTTCCTTGAATTGGCAGAATTTTATTTATTTATTCTTTTTTTTTTCTAATGCTATGAATATTAATGGTATTATTTTCATTATAGACATTATAATTGCTAATGTTTAAACATTATTAATGGCAAAATAAGATAATGTAAAATATTTTTGTAAATCAAGGAAAAGGGCAAATGGGCAAGACAGGCTCATTGGCGATTTAGTACAAGTATAGCCATCTATATGTAAAAACAATTAATAAGGTAAACTTATAGTGGATATGGCATGTATCTACATACCATGCTTAGTGGCATTGGAAAAAAAAGAAAAAAAGTAATAATCTTCCCAGACCAATCATGAAACTACCAGGCCTATGCTCTCCTTGAACTGTATATCTGGGAATTATGCAAAGGATGATTCAAAGATGATTTTGATGCATTTGATTGTCATTGCAAATTTTTGTCTTGGAAATTCATTACCAATTGCTCTCACAGCTATTTTTCTGAGTGGGAACTTCCCACACGGCCAGATGCTCCTTCCCTCTCACGGTTGATACTGGAGGACTGCTGGAATAACAATACCCTCAAGACCTCCAAGATGAGGTCCACACTCTCTCTTACAACTGAGGTAACCTTATGAAAAATGATGGACATTTATGTTTGGTTTTATAAATTGTAGAGCTTTGTCAGTGTCTGCACCTTTTCCATTGGTATCCATGAAGCACCTTTCACTTAACATTAACACAGAGAGAGATATCAGCTAAGATACCAGTTAGGGCACTGAGTGGAAATAATGTTCTGTCTTCCCTTTAGACACTAGCAGGTCTGGAAGGGTTAGAAGAGTTTCACATCATAGACTGCTATGTTCTCGACTTAAACCTCAGTACCATTGAGACTGTAAAACCTCTCCAACTTCTCAATATAGTTGGTAAGTGAATGATGTGTGTTGTGTTGATAATGAGCAATTTTTTGTTTAATGTGTCTTCATGTAAGACAGTTGCATTGATCTAACATTAGAAGAGTTAAGATGAGTTAAGATAACAGTATGTACCTCAAGACACTATTGTTATGGTACAGGTGGAGGCCTCAACTGCACGAAAGACAAGCTGTGGATGCTGGATTGGATGGAAGTAGGCCGAGCAAACATCACAAATACCACAAGGTGCTTCGTGGTGAGCTCAGGCGAGATGACTCTCTTCTCCACACGCTATAGTTTCAATGACCACCAATTCTTGCTCTGCATGAAGTATGTGAAGGTGAGAGAGGAGGTGGAGTGACTTGGTTTTCTGGCCAATTTGATTTTTAAAAATGTCTTTGCTTTCAGTAATGGCAATTAAGATTTTTTTTCATCTCATATTACCAGTTTGTTCATGAAAAGCTTAAAAAAGTTTAATTCATTTAGTTCAGATTTGTAAAAATGAATACTGAATGAAAATGAACTTTGATAGCTATAACAGAGGCTTGCAGTGTTTTACAAGACCCAAATAATTTTCCTCAGGAAACAGAGCGTGATTGCCCAAGCCAGTGCCAGTGCAATGTCCAAGGCTTCAAGGAGAGTCAGTACCCAATAATACACTTGCTTTGTGAGAGGGTTGGCCTCACCCAACTGCCTGAGGTCATCCCAAGATGTACAACACGCATGCAGTTTGGATGGAATAATGTGAGTATAGAGAACAATAAAGCTACTTTTATTATGAAATTGAAATCTAATATGTAGTTCTTTAGCAATGTGGTGGATGAACAGTCTTATGAGAATAGAGCACTACCTGATATATACATATTTTCCAGCATTTAAAATTCAGTTCAAATTGTGCTTTAAGCAGTCTGACTATTTTAGGCTTTTCATACCACATCTATCTCCAGATCACTGATATAAATACGCTCTTCACTAATGAAAACTATCGGAGGATGGATTCCATTCTATTGAACAACAACCAGATTTCTTACATCAATGGAGATCTCTTCTATAACTATATCAAGGGGCGACCACTTGATGTTTACATCAATCTTGCAAACAATAAGTTAACAACGGTAAGTCTTTCAGTGCTACTTGTGGTGCATACACTTAAATTTGGGTCTGAAAGTCAATGACATTTGATGGGTATTAATGCAGAATGCATTTTTACATTCCAGTTGCCAATCAAGGAAATTAATAGGATTTATGAAGAGGCACGCCAAACGTCACAACTCTTCTACCCAACATTCAACCTGGCAGATAATCCCTGGAACTGTGACAATTGCTCCTTCTTGCCAGATTTCCAGGTGAGACTTTGGTTGTGGGGTGTTTGTTTTTTGGGAGAGAGGCAGACACAGCTGTTAAACATCTTGTGTTGGTTTGGGTGTTCAAAAAATTTAAAGACTAGGCAAGAATTTAGTAGATGTCTTGGTTAATTTTGTATGGAAATATGGCCATGATAATGCATACAATATATCTATGTCTTATCTATATTTACATTCATCATCTGCTAAACCTGTGAAATTCATAAACCACATATCTTTGTCTTCCTTGCAGAAACTGGTGTATTACCAGAGTACAATGATTCCTGATTATCATGACATCCGCTGCCCAAGTGACAGTGAACACCATCCCAAAAAGCGTCTGATCTTGATTGATGTCAAGTCACAGTGCTCTTCTGGCCCTCCCCTGCTGAATCACCTTGACATCCTCAATATCACCCTGGCTCTTTTGCTGCTGCTTCTCATTATCAACTTCCTCCACAATTTCTACCAGTACAGACGCCATGGGAAGCTGCCTTGGATCATCATTCGAATGCCCTGCTGCTGAGGGAAGCCAGCTTCCTGGCCTGTGGCATACAACTTGGCTTGTAGGAAGATATAAGGGTTGTTAAAGCATCTTGGTATTCCTTCTGTTTTATTCTTTCTACTTTTGTGTTCTTTGGTATATAATTAAGCCAGCACTAGAAGGCTACATTGGTTGTGTTGCAGCAGGTCTCCAAGCCTGAGTTGCAACAAGAGGACTGATAAGGGCAGCTTGAATCTTGTCCTTTAAGGTATTCTATTGTGTTCATACTATGGCAGAATGAGTGCATATGCCTCATTGCTGTAATTACAGTGTTATGAGAAAGAAGTGGAATTTGAGTTCATGAAATGTACCTGAGATGAAGAGTTTATTGCTAATATAGTATATTCATATTACTGTTTTTCTTTTAAAAATTTATATGAAAACAAATAAGAAAGTAGCTGTAAGTGTGACAACATTGAGGGGGTTTGTTTCAGATGCTTATTCAATGTTTTTTTTCATGACTACAATATGTCAACAGACAGTTGATTTGTTGTATGATTGAATTTTTTAGCTGAGTTTTAAATATTTGTTCTTATATAATGGAGCTTTTGTTTATGTTTACAATTTGGGAATTCCCAATTTGACACTTCCCAATAGAGAGGCTGTTACTGCATTGTGATCATGTAATCATCTAGGGCAGTTATTATTATAATAAAAATTAAATATGGGAATGCAGGGATCCACAGTAATAACTGTGATAGATAGCCAATAGTGAATTTTAAAGAGAGTTAGTTGTTTCTGCAGTGTCAGGGATAGGTGAGACATCAGGAAGGTATGCAAAATTCACAATGTTTGCTTTAAAATAGTATGCAAAATTCACAATATTTAGTTTAAAAGTGGTTTTAGTGTAGTCTTGCTTCTGCAGTCAATTGATCTTGGACTCATCCTGTGACATGTACATAGAGATGATAGCAACTATGTGTAATTTTTATATCAAAATCTTATGAAAAGTATTTTTGTAATAATGGGCAGATGCACAAACTTTCACGCATGGAAGTGTATATCTGCAGACAAACATACAAGCACACACAAGCATGTAAACAAAGGTGGACATTACATTACTTATATATATATATATTTTTTTTTTTATAGAGTAGTCACAAATTTGACCTGGTGTCAACACTGACAATAGTGTGATTGTCTGAGCTGTAATTTTCAAATGTAATAGTTAATGGTTAGAACAAATAAATGTGCTAGACGTATAAAGACTTAAAGCACTTTGGTTTTGTTTAATTAGTTTGAATTAAGTGCATTTTGCCAGCACAAATTCATCTCATTGGCACTAGCAAGAAAAATATCTTGCTATGAAGTGTTTCCTCCAGTGAAGTATTATTTTACTCATGCAAAAATAGAGCTGAGAAACTTTTAACGAGGAGATTTCACTCCCAAAAATTTATAATGGCGCTTGGCATATAATGGAAGTATTCAGTAACTATTTTGAAGAGAAAGCAAAAACTGCAAATAGCATTAGTTCAATAAATGGTAACATTACTACTTGTGAATTACTTTAAAGTATTGCTTGTCCACCACTGTATGTCAGTGCATGCACACACACATTAAAAAGAACAAGTAGAGTTGGGATTGTGTGCTCTTGCTCAAGAACAGTTTGAATAGGACATTTTAATCTGACTTGCTCTAAGATGGTAAGTATGGGAATATAGGGGAACTTTTTATTTTTTATTTATTTTGTGCATGTGCGTGTGTGTGTGCATGCATGTGAGTGAGAAATTTGTGAATTATTAATTCCCCCATAAGTCATAATGTTGATGATACATTTGAGAAGCAAGTGTTAAAGAATGCATTGCTGTAGGATAAGTCAGGAAACAAAAATACAAACATACAGACAAAAATTATTTTTCTTGTATCTAAATGTTTTTGAGAACAAATAAAAAGGTGTCCTGTGTATTCATTTTAGTAGGCTATCAGTAATGAAAGCCATGAATTTATGTCTTATGCACTACATATTTTGGTAAATCTTGGAACTAGAAACCAACTTTATTATATCTGTCAGTGTTTTTATGCTTCTTTGGAGCTGCTGCACTAGTCAAAGATTGTTTTAGATAAAGGGCATTTGTGTTTCTAGATCCTTTCTATAGGGACATATTGCTTTTGAATAAATAAACAAATAAATAAATAAATAAGTACCTTATGTATATATAATTTTTTTATGTGAAATCCAGTGACATGCATTGGTATCTTTATTTAGTAAGAGAGAAAGGCAAGGCATGGTTAGATTTCCTTATCCCAAACATGATTGTAGTGCTTCTCTACATTTCATATATTTAATGCATGGTAAGACTTCTTCAGGTACTAACTGTAATAAAGCAAATAATTCATGCCAAGACAAAGTTTGAAATAGAATTGGTGAATAAGAACTTGATAGCAAAAGAGCTCTACGGGGCATGGTCCATTTAACAGTACAATGCAAAAATAGTTTGATTAACAGAAACTTGAAGGTGATTTAAGAATACAAAAATAAAGTAGATGGATCTTTAGAAGTTCATTACATATATCATATGCAGTCCTGCTAGAGTGAATAGTTCCATGGTGGTGAGTTGTGGCTAACAGAGGGTGTACTTTATTTGTGATTGCCATTTTCATGGGTTACCTATGGTTTCCCCACTTTTAATATCATATCCATGGGTACCTGGCCACCTTCCAACTTTTTTAACAGGACCATCAATTGGTAATAATGCACAGGTACTACCCCTCACGTGGATGCAGCTTTAACCTCAACACATGAGCATTTGCGAGTGTACAGTATATTTAATCCCTTTGTCATGTGCAGATGCATAGTTTCATATGGAGGGTGCTATTGAGTAAGTATTCAAGTTTTACACATAGTCAGTCTGTCGCTATTTGATTTAAATCAAGGCATGTCTTTCAGAGTGTACACTAGGGTATTTTTTAGTGCTTCATCATGCATCTCATATATTTTCTAATTTTATGTTTTGCTCACCATGTAGTGTTCTCATAATGTTTCTCATGACTATAGAAGAAATTGTTGCTAACATTATGCTAGTAAAAGAGAAGGGTATTACACCAATGTTTGGTTCAAGTTGCTCTTTGCCCAGTTTTAGGCAGATGATGTGAATTGCAGTAGGTTTCTGCTGCTTAGTATCTGGATAAAATTGATTATTAGCACATCAGAAATTTCATTTGGCTACAATAGGTGAACTGCACAGTTCACAGACACACTGATATTTCTTTATTATTTTTTTTAATGTAATAATTAAGTTCACTGGATATCATTGTGCTGCTACTAGCCTAGAGCTCATTTTACTGTGTAAGCTTTATTTATAGTATGTCAGCTTGATATGTGGTTATATTGAGTTTCATGGAAAACAAAGAGATGTGCTAACAACAAAATATTTTGTGAACTGATTGATGAGATTGCATATTGTATGATTTTCAAAAGTACATTTGCAAATTTGACTGGACCACAAATTTATATTTTTTTAAAACTCAGTTGTTGCCTGCATTGACCCCTAAAGGTTGATGTGTAATAATTATCACTATTAGGTGTAATTGTTTGCCAATGCAATAGAGGCATAAATTGTTTGACTACTATTTTTCTGGATTTTTTTATGCACTTTTTAAGCCTTCCTATTTTCCCCATCTTGTGGAAAGACAGCAAAGTTGTTTTACCAGCTAAGCTTTCCATTTCCTTATTACAGAATTTTGAGGCTTGGTCTTTTTCTTGCCTTATCTTCAACTACACACGGATCTGGACTTGCCCATCCATATGGGATGAAGTGCACAAAGTTTCAAAGACTGAATAATTGGTGCTAAAGCATCTGCTGGAAAAATCTTTATAATACTTATTCATAAATTTTATAAAATTTTGCTTTTGTTTTCCAAGTAGAAAAAAAAAATGTACAGTTTATGCATCACAAAATAAATTAAGTTTGCTTACCCTTTTTTAATAAATCCTTTAATAAATTGAATAATAAGTATAAGCAATGGTGTAGAGTCAACCTCCTGTGTCATAATCTACCCATGAATTAAAGTAGCAAATTAAAGATTAAGCTTTCATGTGGAAGAACTTCTCATTGTCAATTTAGTGTCCTTATATTGTGTAAATTTAACTCAGTGCTTCCAAGGATGGCATGTATGTACACACCATACCCACAAAGTTTGATTTTAATTGAGTAGTCATCAAGAAGTTGACTATCAATTTTACTTGTCATACTTGTTTATCCTTTCCCTTGATTTTGTAATGTATTTTTCATTTTATATTGCTATTAGTGTTGTTAATTAGCTATTATAATTATAAAGTCAATAATAACTTCAATATAAATAACATTATAAAAAAAAATAATTTAGAACTGACTCCTTGGTAGCATTGCATTTGAGAAGTCATTTCACAAAACAGTACTATGGAGTACATTACATGTTCCCAGCAGCACTAGGTTAATGTTTCTTTTCACATGTAATTATTGATTCTGCTCATTCTTTTAATTAAGACAGCAGTAAGATCTGTTCAATCTTCTTGTGTGGGGGAAGATGACAAATTTTTAACACTTTACTAACCAAAGGATAGAGTAAATAATGTTTAAGGCAATCTAAACTTCTGAAGTGACAGTGGTTACACCCTCCAAAGGAAAGTCCATTAAGAAGAATACATTGTCTGCTCTACCCCTAAGATTCCACATACAGGGAGAGAATTATCAGCTGCTTCATAAAAAACTTTAAATTTTGGCTTGCAAAGAGAGATAAGTTTCTGTGAAGTAGTGATATTTTTTCCTGAATAAAATGAGAGAATTTTCAATTTCAAAATCTTTATTTCCAATTTTACAGACTTTCAATGTCACTAAAAATTATAAGTTTTGACACTGAATATCAGAAAACCGCACTTTTTTCAATACAGGTACCAAGTTGGTAACATGGTTCAAGAGTGAATTTTACAATCAACACATTTTGCTATAATAAAATTTTGGAACTGCAACAATAAAAAGACATGAAAATACTCAGATTTGTTGTACTATATACAAATTAAACACAACTGGCAAAAGTTCCTCTTAGCAAAATAATATATTCACACAGACATTAACATACAAAATGCAGTTTCTAAAGCTAGTTTACTGATAGCTACAACAAAAGCTTCAAGATAAAGTTGAAAGAAATTATTTTGAAAAAAAATATATATAATTCTACAAAAATATATTTTTTACTTGTATCTTTCAGAAGTCGTATTAAAAAAAAAAATTAATTCTGCTTGAAATTGGTACCACAAAATCCAAGAAAATCTTTTGAGATATTATAGTTTTTTTACAATACAATAAACTATTTTCTTTACACATATCTCATACATGGGCATGCTAAAAACATGCTCATACTTTGGTCTTTCAATACTATAACATCTAGAATAAAGTACTAACCACAGTATCACAAAAAAAGAAGGGAAAAAAAAAAAAAAAAATGTGATAGGTGAGCAAGATGATCTCCAGTAGTGGTCTTGTGTGTATGGTTTTATAAGCGGTGACTTGGGTGTTACTCAGGACTAATGACCCTATAGCTTGGAGGAAACCTAGAACATGCAAACAGAAAAAATACTTTGACAAATGTTTCATCTTTTTATAAAAATGAAAAAAGAAAATATATATACACATAAATATAAATGCAAAACACTAAAAAAAGGAGAGAGAGATAAAAAAATCGTAACACAAAATAAATGAAGAATAATTGCTGATTACATATTACATTCTAAGAAATCATGATGATGAGAACTTTCAACAAACTGAAACCTGTCACATCAAACAACTACAAACAATGAAAGACAAAAGTTAAAATACCATAAAATTCTACTAAAGTCAACATTAATTCTAGTTATGAAAATCAAAAGTGTGACCACTGATAGAGTGAGAGAATGCACCAACATAAACAATAAAAGAAACTACAAGAGCATGCAAGATTACGTACTAGAGTGTCTATGACACCTTCGTTGGTACCTTGATCAAGATTGTCTTAATCTCCAAGTATTCTGCCAAGCCATCTTCACCTCTGGAATAGGCCAAGATATTGTAAATAAAAATGATAATAAGAAATAATCAACACACAAAAATAGACAAAACTTAGAGACAATATACAGGCATACATGAATAACATAACAGTAGCCGAAAAAAACGCTGCACAGAAAACAGATTTCTAAAAAGTGACCACAGTTTCAATAAACCAGCACTGTGTATAGAGAGTTTTTTAGCACTGTGTATAGAGAGTTTTTTTTTGCCACTGGTATATACAATGAAATTGGGAGGGAGATAAAATAAAATAACAATAATGTAGTATTAACCTATGAAGTCATGTTTTACAACAGAATAGCACATAAGAATGGATCATTAGTCTATTGGAAATTCATAGAAAATCTTTGGCAGGAGCAAATAACCCCTGCATCAAAGTTAAAGCCTTGAATACCTCAAGCAAAGTACCAATCCCCACACTTACAGTTCCCTGCCATGACCTGACTGCTTGTAGCCTCCGAAAGGTGTCTGTGGCAGACACAAATCGTAACAGTTCACCCTGAAAATATAAAGATAATTAAAGCCATAAGAATAAAAAAAAAATCTAGGAAGGAATAACCTATGTGAGGAATTCTCCATAAAAAGCTACTTGGTATCTTTTTATTACATAAATACATAAATGAAAATAAATAAATAATAATCAAGAATAAACTTGTTTATTTCAAAACTGACTCTCTTTACTCTCATGATGATCTCTATTTTTTAGAATGTCTAGTATGTGAATGCATCCTCATTCCCCTTGCCCCTTATTTTTGAACTTATAAAATGTTTTACTTTTATAGTACATATAATCTATCTTATCCATGCACACATAATGAATGAAAAAAAAAATTGCTTGGAAACTCACCATACAGAACCAGCTCTTACACTCTGAGCGTAAGTCAGGGCTTTGTTGATGTCACGAGTCACGATCCCAGAGGCCAAGCCATAATTTGTGTCGTTGGAGCGCTCTATGGCTTCATCCAAGGTCTTAAACTTCAGAATAACTTGCACTGGTCCAAAGATCTTAAGGAGAGGCAAATAAAGATACAATATGAAGAGAAAAGAAAAAAAGGGAAAAAGAAAAGAAAAAGAAAAAAGGAGGAGAGGAAGAGAAGATAGAAAAAGGGATGTACTCCAACAAATGTAGAATCACAAGAAAAATCTATTATGTACTCTTATAACTACATGAAAACATGACTGCTGAATCACTAACAAGACAGAGTGAAACTGTACCTCCTCCCTTGCAATGGTCATGTTGTCTGTGACATTAGAAAACACTGTTGGCTGAACAAAGTAGCCTTTGTTCCCAAGACGAGCACCTCCACACTCCAGTTTGGCTCCTTCAGCTTTGCCCTTCTCTATGTACCCAAGAATGCGCTCCATTTGCAGTTGGCTCACCTATGAGAAATGACAAGAATTACAAAGTAATCAATGACATCTTTTTAACAAAACTTATCTTAGCAGGTAAGAGTATTCATTCTGTTTCAAAATAGTATCTAACTCTGGGGAAAACTAACTTGTGGTCCCTGAAGTGTTTCTTCATTAAAGGGGTCTCCCACAGGACGCTTTTGGGCCAGTTTCACAGCTCGCTTCACAAATTCATCATAGATAGACTCATGCACAAATGTTCTTGAACCAGCACAGCAATTTTGGCCGTGATTGCCAAACATTGCGGTGTGGCACAAATCTACTGCTTCATCCACTGAAAGATATTAAACAGATAATAAAATATGTATTTGTAACAAAAGCCAAATAAAAATGATCTTTATCCTAATCTTTAAAACATTTAAACCTTGTTTTCAGCAGATGAGAAGGTTATGTACATGATTTCCAAACCAAAGAATGACATAAAAAAGGTAAGATTCAACTTACAATCTCCACAGTCTTCACACACAATAACAGGACTCTTTCCTCCTAGCTCCATGGTGACACGCTTCAGGTTTGACTGTCCTGCAGCTTCTAGGATGCGCCGGCCAATCAGAGTGGAGCCAGTAAATGCCACCTATTTTGTTTTGCAAGTAAATACTATTAACAATACATAAAATATTTTAAACAGTCACTTTTAACACTTTACTGATATTAAAAACATATACCACATCATGTTACATATTCCCTTACTGCATGCACATGCAAGTGTTCCTTACTTTATCAATATCAGGATGATGAGCAACTGCATGTCCTGCTGAAGCTCCAAAGCCAGGAACAATGTTGATGACACCAGGTGGGAATCCAGCCTGAGAGTGAACAATTCAGATTGATTAAATTCAGTTTAATTTCTAAACAACCTCATACTCATTTTCAGAGAGGCAAATCCTTTGTACATGCACCACATGCTTAAAAAGTGCAAGTAGCCACCTCACCTCCTTGACCAGAGCCCCAAGATAGAGGGAGCTGATCGGTGTCAGTTCAGCTGGTTTGAGAACGATGGTGCAACCGGCAGCAAGAGCAGGCCCCCACTTCCAAGCAATCATCATCACAGGGTAGTTCCATGGGATAATCTGGCCCACAACACCCACTGGCTCCTTTCTTGTCATGCAGAGGAACTCACCATCTGTTGCACCAATGTTTAGTTTGTTCCACATTCAAAGTTCATGAAAACATTAACAAAACAGTTTTTCCATTATATATCATACAACAATCTACAGACCTAACCCAACAAGCATGCTACTTATCTTTTACAAAGTCTGATTCTAACACCTTCACTATCAGCTACAGTTTCCCAACAGAACATCATATATCAGTATATTGATTTCACAATAATCTACACTTACCACAAGGAACAGTGTCTCCATGGATCTTGTCGCA